TAACGGGACATTATTAATACATCTCAATTTTCCATCATTGAGGAGGACCTCATATAATAGAAATTCGGATTAGTTTGAGTGAATGGTGACAATACCTCTAGGTTTTTTAAGATATAAAGTGATGAAAAAAAAAAAAAACTGAGGGGTTTTTTGTAAGTGTATGGAGTAGGCTCCTCTGACATTAGAAAACATCTCCTGAATGGTAATACTAATTAATTATCAACTGAGGATTAAGTTTTCCAAATATAAAAATATGTGCATGAAAGAAATTTGAAAATTAGGTAATACGTTTCATAAATATTTAGTTTGCTTATTAATATTTTTATATTATACATAAATTAAAAAAAACACGTGACATAATTGCTATGGATTCGTGGCAGCTCAATTTAATTAAACAAGTTTGAGTTTGACCGATAAATGCTTGTATATTTTTTAATTTAATTTCATATTGAATAATGGCGTTTGAAAATTAAATCCAGCCCCCTGGGACATCATAATTTAGTTAACGAGACATAATATCAATTAAAATTATTGTGTGCAACTACTTATGAGTTGTGAAATTGACCTTATATTTTAAATATAGAAACGTTTCTTCATTTAGATATATACTCATAATACGAAGGTATGACTAACGAACAATGTAATACCATTTAAATATTAATTCGATATTTTATATTGAAATGGATCCGTAAGATCAAAGTTAAACCGGCGTAAATGGTGGGCTGATTTAAGCAATTAATTTGTTAAACATGATTGAATTTGACCATTAATAAAGTCTCGTGTATTTCAATTTGATATCAAATTAAAAAAATAATGGTGTTTGAAAAAATATAAATTCCTATCATTCGGTTGTCCTAATTTAGACAATATTGAGAGACGTGCCTTTGTCAAAAGAAATATGAAGAAGTCAATGAGACCTAATATTCACTATAATCTACCCAAAACAATGAATGATTGTGACCTCAAGTTATCAATATATATATATATATATATATATATATTTGGCCGAAATCAATATAAAATATATTGTCTTCTGTTAAATATACACCCTTTAATTCATAATAATGGATGACATTTTCTACACGTAATTGTTGGCTCATCATGTGGAACATTTTATTGTTATAAGAAACATCTTTTCATATTTAGCTCGTAGTGGTTAAGCTGAGTAATATAATTATCCATGAAAAGCTGTCAGTGTTTTATAAATAGTAAAGATAAAATTTAAAAAATTGATTATAATTGGCGTGGGTGATAAAAACTCTTATCACTTACTTTGAAGAATAATTTTTACTGTTGGCGGCAAAGCTTGCTCCTTATATTATGAAAAAAGATAAAATTTAAAAAAGAAGTCAATTTTTTTATGAGATCTAGAAAAAAATGAATTTTCTTAAAATGCTCTATATATACATATTAGACTAATAAAATTAATTAAGCTAGTTAAATTTGAAGGAAATAAAATAAAAAATAGATTGTTTTTTTTTATAATTTAACCTCATTTGATGATTGACTATTCTTTTTATAAATATTTCTCTGCCATGCTTTATTTAATGAGAGTGGTATATTGAATTAAAAAAGGATTTAATAACTTGGGAAGTGTATTATATTTTCGACCGCTAAAATACCTAAACAAATCTCTTATATTTGAGACTATAGATAGTATTATTGATAACAAGTCATTCTCACACTATTCATTATAGCCACAACATTAGCCAATTTGCTTCATGCTCCTTATAAATACATGCGAAGATACATTTAGTTGTTAAAATATGAATTAGCTTTGCAAAATTGTCACCATAGACACCTTTTTTTTTTTTTCATAACCATTCAGTATTCGAAGCTAATAGTCCTGACTAATTCAAATTTGAGCACTATAGGGCCTTAAAGGGGTGACTCTTCCAAACATATTTTCTTCACTCCCATCACCTCAAGGATCGAATCCAAGAGCTGATGATTAAGAAAACTCAAGCTCTTTGCCATCTAAGCCAGCATGTGTTGATCACCTCACACACTTTTGATATGGTTTCCTTTTATAACTTATGAAATTATATTATTTATAATTTATGGATAATGTGTTTTATTATAAAAATTGGATAATTTTTTCCCTTTTGAAGGTTATGCATAAAATTTTTTAAATAGAATATAATTTGAGGAGATTACTCTATGTAATTGATCCAAATACAAAATAAAACTTATTATATTGTTTCATTTTCTTGAGAGTGCACTAAAAATTTGTTGAAACTAATTGAATTGATAATGATGAGATTGACAAAATTGAAGAAAAGAGATGAAGAATTGGTCTAGGCGTGCGTAATGTGAAAGTCCAACCATTGGTGGGGATGAGGCCAATTCCACACTATCAAATGTTGGTCTCTTGATCAATTTATTTATTTATTTATTTATTTATATTTATCAATTTTGAGAATGTTGATATTTATAATTCTTTTTTTGTTGACATATGTTATTGCGTTATAAATCAAGATTCAATGGGTGAATTTTTATGTCCAACTTACCAGTAGATATGCATGCATGTGATGACAACTACCCCACATGTTGTTGCTTGTTAGGAGCCAAGTCAAAAGAATCTTAAAAACTGTTTTGCCATATAGATTCAATATCTAACAATATATTTTCTTTGATACGAGTTTTTTTACTTGTAAGAAAGACTAATCTCCCTCAAATTATAAATAGAAAAAAATATAATTGTTGGTCAATATTTTTAATGTGTTTTGTTATTAACTCGTATAATTTTTTTTCCATTGTTCCTAGTTTTATAAATTTGACCAGTATATGATGTTAGCACTAAAGGAATATTAAATAAATAATAAACTGAATATGGAGGGTTACAATCTTACAATATTCGGGCATAGTTGAGTCTACCTGACTACTCATACAAGTGTAAACTATTAGAGTTTAAACTATAATACACAGTAAATGTATTGAAGAGAAAGAGAGAGAGAATGAACTAAGGAACTATTCACTTTGGAATGCCTCTACCTCCAACCTGTTATTACTATTTATATTGAACAAAGGTCTCTGCATAAAAAAGCATATCCAGTCAGCATTAATATGCCTCATTAGTGAGATTGTTTTCCTTTTAGTTTGTCAATTAAAAAATAATCAAATTAATTTCAAATTTGGTTAGCTTATTATGACCAGAATTATTAAAAATCTCACTGATAACTCATCATGGGCAAATTATGCAAATCCAAATTCTAACCGTGCTTATAGTTTTGTGATTGCTCTACTTTTTTTTTTTTTTTTTTCAATGTGTTGTCACGAGAGTCTTCCCATTGGGTTTTCCTTTATTGGGAACGATTATTAAGCAGCGTTTGATTATCAGAAATAATAAAAATAAAATGAATTAAACAATAAGAATAAAAATGAATTAAATCATCTAATATCTTATAATAAGTATAATAAAATTCAATACTACATATAATAAATGTAAGAATTATTACACCCACTATAAATTTCATGAATTATGACTCTCAAGTCTTAACTTTATGCATTAAACTACTTTTCCCTTTCGTTAACAGGGTTTTTATCTTCCTTTAATATTTTGATTATTATATTTTTATCATTATCGTTATTAATGTGAAAGTGCTACAAATTTATGAAATTATTTTGAAGGATTCATGTCCTCTGCCAAAGGAAAAATGGTGATGACCAAATTGTTTTTACTATTAAATTAAACTTTCCATCTATGAGTAAAATTTTTACACTGTGATTTATAAAATTTGTATCATTTGACTGCGAAACGCCCAAATTTGTAAATTTGCTGGTAAAAGTCATATTTAATACTCATATTTATCGAGAATTTAAATTTACAAATTCAAGTACCAGTATTTGCTATTTAACATTCGTAAATTTATAAATTCTACCATGAGAATTTATTACTCAGAAATTGCAAATCTAATAGTGATAATATGAGAAATTCATTCAACTCAATCTTATTTCTTTTTTTTTTTCTGCAGTCAAGAACTTTGGCTTTTTAGAGCAATTTTATATTTTAGAAATTCTTTTTTTTCGATTGAATAGATTCTAAAAATTATTCTGAAAATACAAAAAAAAATTTTGATATTTAATTATTGACAAAAGCAGATCTTTTTCATTTAATCTTACACAATATTTTATTTTGACCCTTTAATTTTATAAAATATTTTTGCTCTAACCTTGATACCATCAATTTCATTAATAAAAAAAATATTAAAATGAATATTGATAAAATATTCTTGACACATTAATTTTTTTAAAAAAACATTAATTGACACAAAAATCATTATTTGAAAATAAAAATGTTAGGATTAGATGACTAAAAGTACTTTATAAAATTAAAATATTAAACTGAAATTTTATACCCTTTGCCTTCAATATTATAAGTTATTTTTAACTGAATTACACTTTCAATAAGTTAGTTAATTATCTTTAAAATTATACCCTTTTTTTATATTTAATAGAGTATTTTAATTAGAAAATCTTATTAATTATATCTTTAATTAAAAGTATTTCTTAAAAAAGCTTTATTAATGGCGTAAAGATTCATAATATTCATAATATTTTAAAAATGTCTTATAATAATATTTAACAATATATATATATAATTAGAAGATCAAATGCTCAATTAATAATCGTTTAACCATGAGAATTAACTCAGGGCTGCAAAGTCCAAATCCAAAGCCGTGAAGGAGAGAAGCTTGGCCACGTCGCCCAGAAAGAGGGCGGAAAGTCGACATCCCTTTGGAAGCTTGTACCGCCGCCGCCTCCAGTTAATCCAAATCTTAAGGCAAGCTTTGATCTTACATAGCCCCACGTCACTAGGTTGAAGATGACAATGGAGACTCCATCCACATTAGCTATTATTAATCAAGCCCAGGTAGGACCCATCTCAAAATTTTTTTAAGTCATGGCATGTTTGTATTGACGAAAAAAATGAAGCATTTGTACTCTTTTATCATTCACTTCATTTTCCTCAATCCAAACGGGGCAAGGGGTTTGGCCGGTATTGCTAGGACTTTGAAGATCAAAAGAAAGAGACGAATAAATTATTAGTATTATTTTTTTGATTCAACAGCTTGAATTTCTCCTACACCGGCCACGCTGCCTCTTCACTGAGCGACTTTATTGTCATATTTATGGCCTTGGTGTGGACGAGTACGCCGTATTTTCATACTCACATCAACACTTCTCAGTTTCATTTTGACACCTGGTTCTTCCATCTTTTTCTTCCTTTTCTGCCTTTCCTGTTTGGGTTTCGTTGGTTTGGTCTAAACAACAACAGCAAGAAGAAGGAGGAGAAGCAGGAGTTGAAGACCCTTTCAACATGGGCAACTCCTGCATGAAGCCGGTTGCTCATGTTAATTCTTCCAATTTTTCTGGTTAATTTTCTTCTCTGTTTTTTCAATATTGATATATGCTTGCCTCCTTCTTCATTGGCTTGATGTTTCGTGCTCTCAAGGAACAGTTATCAGATTGTTATGTTGATGCTGCTTTATAAACTTGCTCAAATTTTGATCAAGGTTTCTATTTGGTGTACTGCTGCTTTTACATGTGTCCATGTAATCTAGATTTACATCTTACGTTGAATTGAGTGCTAAATCTTTGGTTAGGATTGCTTGTCTGTCAAAATTTGAATGGGAGCAGTGTTCAATTTTTCTATAATACTGGGGCTTAATAATATTTCCCTTATTTTGATTCTTCCATTTCTAAAATTATGGCCTGTAATATTTTCAAATGGACTCATTCTACACTTACCCTCTGATAATTAGCTTCTGGGTTTGCAAGGAAATCGATTCTGGTCTCTTGAATCACTTACTTGTAAACCTCAAGTATTGTGATTGTTAGAACTTGGTGTCATGTCAGCAATAAAAGAATCCTAAGGCTTCTTTGCCCTGATTCAGGTTGTAATTTGCATTTTAAATAGTTGAGATATGTCACCTGAAATTGGTTAACACTTCTTACATTTTCATATAACTAAAATGGCTGTCCAGACTAGTTACTAACAGGTTCTCCTCAGTGTTAGACTACGAGATTGTATGTCAATCTTAATATGTATAAAAATGCATACGAAGGTTTATTATGCATAATGCATTTACATAATTTGATATCTGGACAAATAAGCTAAGACTTGTAAGTTAACATTTATTTTGGATTGTGAGAGCTTTTTCTCTGCTTTTTTTCTTTCTTGATAAATTTTTCTCTGGTTTCTACTTATCCTTTATTCAGCACATAATTCTACCTTAGCAACTTAGAAGCACCATAACCTTTAGAGAAACATGGCTATTTTCAGCTTACGTTATCTTTATGTGCATTTGATTACCCAGAATTAATTTCTGTCTTCATTATTTAAAATGAAAATCAAATCTTACCTGTATTTAAATTGAACTTCAGGGCTTTAGTAATTGGATCAGGGTTGGAACAGTTAATAATTCTCTGCATCTTTATTTGAAATATCACGCTTGAAGAAAACTTAATCTAGCTATGTTTAGTTACATGTGCTTATTACACACTTTTTTGGTACCTTGAATCCAATTTCTTGAAGTTAATGCTATAGAGATGTGCAGTTTAGTTCTTAGGAAGTTATTCGTTAGCTTCTTGTAACTTTGTGCCTAATTCACTCTCAGGAAGTACAAAGTCAAGTAAGACACAGCGGAATTACAATTCTTCAGGACAAACAGCTTCTTTGCAAATTTCAGAATCAAATCTTGTCAGACCCATTTCCAATAATCTCAAGTCTTTTAGCTTCAATGATCTAAAGGAAGCCACAAAGAACTTCCGCGAAGAAAATTTTATTGGAGAGGGAGGTTTCGGGCGTGTCTTCAAGGGATGGATTAACACTAACACCTTTGCTCCCACAAAACCAGGGAGTGGGATGGTAGTGGCCATTAAGCAGCTCAAGCCAGAAAGTTTTCAAGGCCACAAGGAATGGCTTGTATGTACAATAGATCTTTTGAATTAAGATGTTTTCTAAATTATTGGTCTTTCTAGGTATTGACTGATTTCCTGCCCCTTTTCTTGGCAGGCTGAAGTCAATTATCTAGGGCAGCTTCACCATGAAAATCTCGTGAAACTTATTGGTTATTGTTCGGAGGATAGAAATAGGCTTCTAGTTTATGAGTTCATGCAAAAAGGAAGCTTGGAGAATCATTTATTTAAAAGTAAGTGCATTCACTGGACATATAGCTCTCCCACATTTCCCCCCTTTTTTCCTTTTAATTTCTAATTAAAAATGCATCATGACATGACGGTACATATTTTAAGAATACTTGCCGTTTAATGCACTTGAAAGCTTCTGTTTTGGGAGAATCTCCTTATGGGATCTCTTTATGTCTCGTTACTTCGCAAATAAAGCACAATATTATGTATATTCTTATCATGAAACAAAAAATGAATCTGGTTACAAAAATGCTATTCCAGGAGTCATATTCTTGAGAATGATGTTCAAACTTTTCCTAAGGATAAGGCTGAAAGGAAAAAAGATCTTACGATTGGCATAACATGAAGCCTTTTTTTTTTTTTTAATCTCAATGGAGAATTTCCTAGTGTGATATCATTATCTGTCATCACTTGCAAATCAGAAATAAATCATTTGCCCTTAAATTGAGCCTTTTGTTTTTTTTCCCTTTTCCACAGAAGGTGTTCAACCCATATCTTGGGCAACCCGGATGAGTATTGCAGTTGGTGTTGCAAGAGGATTAGCATTCTTGCATAGCCTAGATGCGAATGTCATCTATCGTGATTTAAAGGCGTCTAATGTCCTACTTGATTCAGTATGTTGCACTATGAAAGTTTGGCTTGAGAAAGTCTAAATGAATTCTCTTGCGTATGTGCAAGTTTTCATTCTCAAGAGTTGTGCTGAATTTTGTGTAGGATTTCAATCCAAAGCTTTCAGATTTTGGTTTGGCCAGAGATGGTCCTACTGGAGATAACACTCATGTTTCAACCAGAGTTATTGGAACTCAAGGCTATGCTGCTCCAGAGTACGTAGCAACAGGTATGGTAACCTCTACTGAATCAGTGTTGCCCTGTTCTGATCAAGGTTGTAACTGTAAGGTTCATGTTTCCTGGCTTTAGAATATTTAAAGGGGTTAATGTAATGGGTAAGAAATGCAACCTTAGAAAATCACTAGAATAATTGAAATGAAGTGTTTTTGTGTGAAGACAACAAGTAGTGTACATCATATAAACTTGGATGTACTCAAAGTTACTGTGCGTGTGCGTGTGTGATTTTTTCTGCCCCTTTTCATGGTGAGAGGGATACTTGTTTATTATTAATCTTGTGTGTTTCTCTGTTCTGTTCAAAGTTTTTAAGGCTCATATTTCCGGGCTTTAGAATATTTTAGGGGTAAATGTAATGGGTAAGACATGCAACCTAAGAAAATCACTAGAATAAATGAAATAAAGTATTTGTGTGAAGAAAAAGTAGTGCACATCATATGAACTTGGATGTACAAAAAGCTACTCTCTGATTTTTTTTTTTTTGCCTCTTTTCATGGTGAGAGGGATACTTTTTTATTATTAATCTAGGGATTCCTCTAAGGAGCGTTTTAGGAGTGGAGTCCTAAATACTCCAAGCCGATGTAGGAAAATGAACCTTTTTAAATCACGTTGGAGGGAATTTAGTTCAGATAAAGCCACCCTTGATCATATTGATAATATTCAAGAAAGAAAACAAAAATCTGGTCTTCCATTGGTAGCTTTGGTTGAACTGGTCCCGAATTTCTGCTGTGCAAAGCCACAAATCCTAGTTGAACCATCAAATCACCTTTTTAATTTCTCCTTTTGATCTCTCTAACTGGTACAATCTCAGTTTTGCTGAACATTTGATTAGAACAGGCAATTTGTAGTACTGCATCTTGGAGTTTCCTACTTCCTGTCATATTACATCCTTAATCTATAAACTTGATTGGCCTATCACTTCATCAGCTCATCTTCTTAACTTGGCTTCTGACTAAACAGGTCACTTGACTTCGAGAAGTGATGTCTACAGCTTTGGTGTCGTCTTGCTAGAGTTGCTAACCGGGAGACGAGCATTAGAAGATGACAGACCTGGGTCTATAGAAGAAACTCTGGTGGATTGGGCAAAACCTTTCCTGAGTGACAGCCGGCGAGTTTTGAGGATCATGGATACAAGACTAGGTGGCCAATACTCCAAGAAAGGAGCTCAAGCTGCAGCTGCACTTGCATTGCATTGCTTGACCTCAGATCCTAGATACAGACCTCCAATGGTAGATGTTCTTGCTGCATTGGAAGCTCTCAGTTCCTCAAGTTCAACCCCAAGGACACCAAAATCTGAGAGTGAGGATGTTTCAGCCAGGAATTCTAGTTCTAGTCATCCACAAAAGGCAATCAGACATTTAAAGTCTCTATGAGTCACTTGTTGCCTTGTTCTGTGGTCTATCTGTAGAAGAAATGCTATTGGATTCCCTACAGTGCCTGTATATGTACCTTGAGCAAGATCAATTTAACTTTTGCACCTGAGCAGTAGGGAATTTAAATTCCAGTTATATACAGATACATTGAGGCGTTAGAAGATAGATTGGTGCCCGCATGCTCAGAGAAAGGCGCATCAGGACATTAACTAGCTCCAGCAAGTGCTTTGTTCTTTCAATTTTTTTTGTGGGCAATTACATCTTGGCATTGATTGAATAATATGCAAAGCATATAGAATATTAGTCCTCCGATCTGTAATGTGTCACAGGATTTGTTATTTTCACTGTGAAATGAGTTAATAGCTATCTTGTGGGAACAATTGAATACATAGGCAATATTTGAGCATTTCAATTATCCTAGGATTCTTGCTGCTGATTTTTTTTTTTTTTTTTTCTGGGGTTGAAAAATTAACGTCCTAGAGCAATGAAGTAATATTTACCTAACATATTCGGAGATTTTCTAGCTACGGTAGTATCATTACCAACTTCTACTTAAAAGGTGTTTTTCCCCCCTTGAAGATTGTAATCCAAGTAAAGTCTTATTAATTACTCTGATTCAGGATTACCTTAGTACATTAATCTCTCAGCATCAGAAGTTAAATCTCTTTGAATCTAGTTGAGAAGATTGTCTTTAATGGATCATGATTATATTTTCTATGATGCATAAATTCTTTAAAAGGAAAGTGCTAGGCATACTCGAGTCTCTAATGGCAAAATTAAAAATTAATAACCCAAGTTTTTATATAACTCGCAAATACAATTTAGTTTGACTACCCATCTTTTTACCTATTTTTTGAGAGTCGGGCTTAAAAAAAAATGAGATTTTAGTATAAAAGGACTTTTAGGTCATATTCTTACAAGTCCTGCAAAAATAAGTTCGGTTAACTTTTAAGCCCTTATAACTTTTTTTTTTTGGTAATTTTGTTTATATAATTTATGTATTATTAAATATTTATTCTAGTGACATATTAAGTTACTGACATTTTTAAAATGGCACCATCACTTCTAAGCAGACTTCTCTTTGAAGGGTCTAATATTTTGTTTTTCAATAAAGATGGATAATAATAAGAACTAAAGCATATTTACATTTTGGATGGTAGATAACTTGGACTCACATGGTTTATATTATATTTTGGGGTTTACATTATTTTAATTATACTTTAAAGCTTACTAATGTCTTTTAGATATTTAATGAACTTTGTAATTTGTATATGTATTAATATAAATTAGATATTTTAATTTCTTTTAAAAAGTTATGTGGGTTTTTCGACCTTGACCTTAAGTCTTGTTAATAAAAGTTGGGTTAAGAAAAGTGATAATTTTAAATTTAAAAAAATTTAGGATAAATATAATTTTTAATCTTTATAGTTTCATTGAGTTTTGTTTTTAATCTCTATAGTTTTTTTTTAGTATTTTCAATTCCTATAGAGACTAAAACTATTTAAAAATAAAAATTATAAAAACTTAAAAAACAAATATCATCTACTGAAAATAGAGAGAAAAAATTATGAAAATTAAAGTAAAAATTTAATAAAATTATAAAGATAAAATATTATATTTTTTCAAAAATTTATGTCTCAAGGACCGAATTTACACGTGACAAGTCCTTCCTGTAAAAACTTGAAAAATCCTAAAGTCAAACAATATCATTGACATTGATAGAACATTATAACACGTTGCCATTTTTTTTTCTCTTTAAATTGAAAGTATTTATGTTTTAAAGTTACAAGTATGATTAAACTTACTACGCTATTAGCAACCTGATAGCTTTTGAGCTACATAATTGATTGAAGGAAGTGTCACGAAATTGTGCACTTAAACACGAATTATCAGGAATATGAATTTCTGGTATGCTAGGTTCTCCTTAGTATAAAGATTGCACTCCAGGTCAATCTTTCTTTCGAAATTGGAAATTGATGATTAAACACGAATTTTAAAATCTTACTTTGATTTGATTGTGTTAATTTAACAATAACGTGAATGATTTAAGTATTTTCTTTAGTTTATGTCCTTTCATGTCTTTTTCTGCGATTCATGATCGGATTTTCTTCTGCTTAATGTTGCATTTACCAACTGGATCTCTAATTGATAGTGTAATTACACCCCTAACCCTCACCGTCTCAGCAATCTGGTGGCTGTTTATCCGCCCGCCGGCAGTTCCTTCGACGCCCTGTCTCCTGAGTCCATCTCGATCGGTCTCGCTTTCTTTATCTACTTCTGTTTGTGTTCCTGATCATCGTTTGATCTCATTTTTCCTCTCGCTGCAGATTTTTCTTTTTTTCACTTCCGTGGTTCGTCATTTTTCTTTTGCTTTGAGATTGCTGACTAATGTTCTATTTATCGTCGTTTATTTGGATGCGTTTTCTTGTCCTGGGTGTCACACAGCAAAACGATGGAGCTATCAGTGTAGTACGATTATAATTGCGTAGATAAGGAATTGAGTTTAAACCAAATGCCTATAGAACCTTTGAGATTCTGTAAATAAAATGAGGCTTGTAATTTTATCAATGTTTCTCTGCACTCTAAAGATTGAGAAAATACATAACAACATGGCTTTCAAGTATTGGTAGTCACCTTTTGGGAAGTATCTCTTTTCGGATTTTTTTTTTTCTGTTTAATATTTGGACTGTTTTCTTGTATAATGGTCTTACTTTCTACAGCTGCTAGGGCTCTTGACTATGCAGTTTTCTTTTTGTTTTTGTAATAGAGTAAAATATTTTTCTTTATGGAGTCCATTGATAGTGCATTCCAGTGGAATCGTAATATGGCTTGGATGTTATCATTATAGATGTGGATTTTTCAATTCTCATGTTGGGGTGGATCCTTTGAGCTTGACAACGAAGAGCTTTGGGGCTTTGAGACTTTTGACCTCCATGTTCGTTTAAGATATTTTCTTATCATGTCTGAATGTCTTCGTAATGTGGAGTTATGAAATATTAAGATGGTTCAAATAAATTTATGCAATAAATGATATGCAGAAAGAGTTGTGAAATAATATTAGGACAAAAAAATATTTAAGTGAGATGATTATAATCCTTGGTATCTACTGAACTTGTAGTCGCCATCCGTAGTACCTGTCGCTATTTCATGACTAGTTGACTTCTTGAATGTTGAGACTGGTTACTTATAAAGCCTGCGTTCTTCAATCTCAATATCTGTGCCCCCAATGTTCAAAATGTCAAACAGAAAATATAGGGCAGTCTTTTTTGGTTCCTTTTTTTTTGGTTTTTGTCCTGTCCTGTTTTCCTTTGTAAAGAAAGGGCTATAGCAGAGGCAGAGCTATAAAAAAGGAGACAGGTTATAAATTCATGGTACGTAGGACTGCCTTAATTTTGAAGGTTGTGACATTGGTTTCAGGGAAGACATGGAGTTTGTTCACAAAATAGTTGATGCTGCAATGAGAGCTATGAACAACAACACAGTGATTGATATCTGTCTGCTCGCTTCATTTGCAACAATGGGAATAAGATCAGTGAACCAGCAAAAGGTCATTGAGGTTCTAGAGGCTGAGAAGGAAAGTCTTGTCAAATCCAACAAGGCCATGAGAAATGTCATGTGGGATTGGAAACTACAGCTTTTTGCTGAAGCCTCTACTGATTCTGCATTGGTCCCTCTGTCAAGCCTCCGAGCCATCTACGGTGAAGCCCCAGCTGCTTAACTTGGTAATTCTATTCGATCCTCAATCCTCTCTATGCTATAGACTTTGTGCAATAAATTGTTCAATGAGTAAATGGACACTTTAGTTTTGCTTTGGCATTGTAGTCAGTTATTACAAGGAGATTAGTAAGAGATAAGAATTTTGTATAGCAGAAGTTATATAGTTCTATAATCCCTATTTGGTTTGTGTTTGTGTTATGCTGTTACATGGGAATAATAGTTAGTTGAGGGGGTTAGTACCTGGTAGCCCATGTTTGGTTTTGCATTGGAAACCATCAAAACCACAGTTGTGATGGATGTAAGAACTTACCTACTTCCAAACACGCTCAGTTAGGAATAGGTGTCTAATGAATTGAATAATATCTTTGATCTTTATCATGTACCTCATACATTCATGCCTTTATCTTTGAATGTCCCTTGTGCAATTTGTAACTTAGGAGACTTCTTCTATTTAAAAAATGTACAATGTAATGGATGGGTTGGTTATATCCGACTTTTTCTATTTAAAAAACAAAAATCATTGCTTTAGTTTGTATTTTTTACCACATTATATCCGAAATGCACCATGCAGAGAGTTACAGGACCAGTGACATGTATGCTTTTTCTCTGGGTGTAAATTGCTTTTAACTGTGGGTTTCCATTCCTAAAAATTCAATGATGCTTAATTTGTAAATCTTAATTTTTATATGCATATCGCCAATTCTAATTACGCTTACAGTATGAGGTAATTCTTCTATTATTGTTTTAGGAGTCGCTGCGAAGCAAGGTGCAAAACCTTCTAGTGGGGCAAACTTTACTGTGTGAAATGTGCAGAGCGATTGTTCTTTTTGAGAAGTTTCGGCATTGGATCACTATTAAATAAGCTATTGTGAGAGGTGAGAAAATTGTAAATGCTGTCAGGCTTGGTTACCATTTTGTTATCAATGAGCAATATAATACATAGGAAGCTTATCAATTATATTGCAATAGGGACCGAAGGGAGTAATTAGTATGATTGGAGCTCCCAGATCATCTGGCTAAAAAATTGCGAGTGATAGCTCTGGAAGGATCTCTGTGGAGCGTCTGATAACAGGCATCCTCAAAAAGTAAAATGAATGAACATGTCTTTTGATGTTGTCCAAGTTTGGAGCATCCCTACTTGGGATATTCATCAAAAGCCATAACGTTCCTAACCCCTCCCCCCCCTCTATATCCCTAACACTTATTTTTGTATTGTAAATTCTCAAAAGGGATGAGTAGTTTGGCTTGGGAATAGCTTATCCATTAGGATAAACTTTGAATCTGTTGCCAAAGCTTTCTTAGAAAGATGGTTTCAGCCATACAAGGAGGGAAGGATTATACTTGAAGGTTTAAGAATGATCCTGGCTTTGGGATGCAAGGAATCAGCAGCAGCATAAAGGAATTGATGTCCAGTCACATCAGATCATCATGAAGGTCATGACAATTCTTGTTTATTATATGTCTAGAGTTGGAATATAGGTTGGCCTTATTGAGCTATTCTGTATATAGTTTTTCTTCTAAAAATTGAGATATTTTCAATTTATAAATTAAATTTAAACTTTAAAATGTGTATTTATATTTTAAAATTAGAATTTATATTTTAGAAAATGAACGTGTAATTTTATAATGTAAAAATTAAATTTTAAAAATTTGGAAAAAAAAACAAATAAAAAAAGACTTGAAAACCTGTTCATAAGTCTGATCAATAAAGGTTAAGTTTGAAGAAACAATTAATTTTTAAGGCAATAGGGTTTTTGGGCTTAAGTTTATATGAGCTAAGCCCATAAGAGCTAGTTATGGGCTAAGCCGGCTGGTTTATGATCCTAGCTCTTTCTTGGTTAAAGTGAACTTTTACCAAAGTCTAGATTTAGTAAGTTGGAAGCTCAACACCAAAATTGCAACTTTTTTAGCTCCCAGCCTCCCATTTTTTGTTGGGAGAATATCTGTAAAGGACCTTGAAAACAATTTAATTCCATAAAAGGGCTATTAATAAGTAAACATTAATAATTAATAAATAAAGTTCTCATTTTAATAAATATCCAATTCGCCCATGTGCTTATCAAATATTACATTCTTTCACTAGTTATTCATTGATATTTTCCTCTTTTTGGAGAGAATATCAGTAAAGAACCTTGGAAACAATTTAATTTCATAAAAAAAAACTGTTTATTAAACCAATTGAAACAGTTCAAGATGGTTCAACCATGATAAAACTAGGATAAACCCAATCATAATTAAAATACTATAGTTCAATTAAAATGCATAACAACATTCGTATATAATTCTTAAAAGAGTAATATTTAAATGAAAAAGACAGTAACATACAATTAAATGAAATATTCATGTATAAACCACACATAACCTAATGAAACAGTTACTAGATCACAAATCTAAACTGCTAGTATGTTTTTCTTTTCCTTCCTTTTTTGAACTCGGAAAAACTAAAAAAATCCAACCCCTACCAACCTGTTCAAAATTCTTCCTCGGACTGGCTAAGAGATTGATTTGCCAATTCAACGGCCAACCTAGTTGGGTTTAAATACCATGATCATAATGCAGTGTCTGAAGCTACAACCCAACATATCGAAGAAAAACTTGTCATAACACACAATAAAAGGTGGTATCTTCTCAAGACTTTCTACAGTGCGAAAGCGCATCTTGATTACATTATAGATAATGGCATACTGCAAAGGACCTTCGGCACAAAAATTGAAAAATGAAAAAAGGTAGAAGGGAAAAAACTACAAAATTATTGAGAGGTTCTCTCATTAGTAAAGGTTCCATGATTGACACGGTAAGTAATCACTGCACAAGTGCATCATCTCACCTTGGCTTCCAGGTTACTCCTCATTGAATAATGTTATCAAATTTCTTCAGTAATTCATAACTCCAACCAATGATATGTCCAATCTTCTATTACTACTTAACATGGCATCATGGGAACGAGTGTCATAAGAAATGCTTTCACGGTTTTACTGCTGCCAACCATACTGCTGATTTCGGTTTCCACCCATCATGTTCGAACCACGGCCGGCTCCTGAGCCGCTGTATGGACCACCTTGGGGATAATTAGGGCCTCCAACTCCATAACCACCACCGCCTCCACCACGAGGACCAGCACCAGGCATACCACTTGACCCATAAGGTGCTCCTCGGCCTTGAGGAGGATATGGCCCATTGCCATAACCACCACCTCCACCTTGACCTCCACGGTTTGGGTGGTTGTATCCGCCACCAGGGTTCCCACCAGGGGGATATCTACCGGGCCCACCAGAGGGGCCTCGAGGTTTCCCGTAATGATGGCTAGGGCCTCCAGCTACCGCGGGCTGAGAGCTATGCATATTTGGGTTTGGACCTGGCCGCATTTGGGCATGAGGTTGCCCTGGCTGCTGGATGGGGGGAAGCCGAGTGTGTTGCTGAGGGTGCTGCAGTTTCTGACGCTTGGCATTTTCTTCATGTTGTCGTTGTTGCTGCCGCTTTTTCTTTGTCTGAAACTCATGTGATGACTCATATTTGGGTAAACTGAGCCATACACAGAACCAGTGACTTGAGAAAATCGGTGATAATAACTACTTGGGAAATAACTAGTTGAACAAATACAGCAAAGTTTAAATGGAGAAAGAACGTGGCATCATTTGACTATATTGAGATCAAATACAATTTGGGGAATATATTATCAAGGTGGGAAGTAAAGGGGGAAAAACATTAGAGAGCAGAGCATTTGAAAGTCATACCTCTTAGGATCACATGGCAATGGATCAGTCCAGAAATACTCAGCATCAAGTGCATCCTTAGCCGTAATTCTCTATTGAAAAATAAAAAATTCCGTAAAAGAAGTAATTATAATAGAAAGAGAAGCTTCAGTCTTGTACGAGAATATGACAATCCTCAAACCAGAACGTACAAGAAAAAGCTCAGAACAGACCAAATTACTATGCTGGTGAATCCTTAGCAGTAACTCTAATGAAAATTTTCCATTTTTTCATGAAATAAGCAATTATATTAGAATAAGATATCCTCATACAGTAAAACCAAGAAAAGCTCTAGACCAAATTACAAAACCCGTGATATTTAACAATATAGAAGAGCTTCTCAATCTCTTTGTATATGAGAAACTGTGATTTCCTTGAGAGACCCATTTGTATAACACTCAAGAGAACCAATATACAACATCCTACTTAACAGATTTGATGGTGATGAGATGACAGTAGAAAGAGGCATTCCTCTCAAACCAAAATACAGTGTTTTTTGTTTTCTTTTTACCGCATCCTCCAAACCAATTTAGAATGATGTGAGGAACAGTTCCCAAATACAACTTTGATCACATTACATAGACTTCTCACGAAAGAAACAGAATAGAATTCATTTTTACCACAAATTCCAGTATGAAATTTTCAATGTTCTATGTATGATTATTGCAAAACAAGACAGTACATACAATGCAACACCCCCAAATCATATAAAGAAAAACAGCTTAATCAGATCAGAACCATGATGGGTGGTCTACCTGAGCAGGATCAAGTGTCAGCATCCTCTCCAACAATTCTAAAGCATGACGATCAAAACTATAATCCAAGCATGAAGAAGAAAAGGTATTAAGATAGTTAACAAGGATACAACAGAGCAACATATGATTATGGATGCTCAGAGGGTGATACTCACTGTCTGAAGACTTCCCTCAGACGTCTTTTCATTGGTCTTGTTGGTTTAAACTGATTGTACCATGGACACTTTGAAACCCCAGGCCAGTTCACTTCATCTGGCGCTCCACAAAGCTCAAAAATTTTGTTTAGTTGTTCTGGCTAAAAGTTTTACAAAGCAAACAAGCATTACAATTTCAGCTATAGAAGAAACGATTCGCATTTATATATATCCCAAGGGCCATACAGTATAAAACAAGAATGGGAATGCACGCAAGCAACAACTGAATTCTCAAATCAAGGAAACAAGAAAGTTAAAGCCAGCAATCTAGCCAATTCTTGCCGTTTGCATGCCATCTAACATCCTGATGAATGATATAAAAGTCATTTCTCCAATACCCCACATTTACTACAACTATTTAGAGTTAAATTATTTAATTAGACAAACACGAAAATAAGACCCTGAATCTAAAGTCACTTTGACTGGAATGAAAAGATTAGTAAGAGCAGAGATTTACAATAAGCACATATAAAATGGTAGCAAGTACTTGGTCGTAAAGCAATTAAAATAAAAGCAGATATTTTCCCAGAATAATTTGTAGCTTCATAGACAAGGTAAAGGACAGAACCTAGCTTGCATAAACTATCACCTTAATCACTAGCTAGCGTGCTTACTTTGTCCTCAAGCACACTAATCAACCAACCACTTAAAAAATATAAACCACAATAATCTAATGCAGACAAATATTAATAACCTCATCTTTTCCAGGAAAGATAGGCTTTCCATGAAGAAGTTCGGCAAAGATACATCCAACAGACCACATATCAACAGCAGGTCCATACTTTGTTGTTCCTAGCAGCAGCTCTGGGGGTCTGAATATATAATGGCCAAATCCGTTAGAATACTCCCCAGTTTCATAAATCCCCCCTTCTTAACCCAATTTAAACTGCCATACAAAAATTAAAACAAAACTCAAATGCAATTACAAAGTCACTATTTACCTATACCATAATGTGATCACACGATTTGTAAGATTTGCATTGTGGTCATTAGAAAATGATCGTGCGAGTCCAAAATCTGCAAGCTTCAGATTGCCTTCATTGTCTATAAGAAGATTGGAGCCTGCATCAGAACAAAATACATGAAATAGGCATATCATTTACAACCAAAAAATAAAATACATAAGCTTCTAGAGACGAAATCTACCTTTTATATCACGATGAAGTACTTGATTCACATGGCAATAATGAAGCCCCGTCAAAAGCTGTCTCATGTAACACTTAAGCAAGAAGAAGCGAGTTAGTGTTTAAATGAATTACTACTACAAATATTTGATTTAAACAATATTTGCAGCCATACCTTGATTTGGGGAACTGTAAATCTCATGCCAGGTCGATCTGCAAGACCAGTCAAGTCATGGTCCATGTATTCAAACACCATATAGATACCACCTTTATATTTGTTACCATCTGTAATCTCCAGTGCAAAGAAAAATACAGACAAGGTAAGAATCATTGGACAAAGAAACTAAAAGGAATTTGACAAAATTATCTTCACAGTGGCAGAATCATAGAGCAAATTAGGCACTGATGTACTAATTGTTGATGAAGTAATTAGCTAATAGTGAAAATGGACACCTGGCTTCCCTTGCTCGTCTTTCTCAGGGCCTGGGGATTGAACTACCAGTCATTTTAATAGCAAGATGAAAATTATATAACAACAAACATTTGGATATTTAAAAACTTTACCTGGCGATGTCACAATCTCTTTCAACTTAATAACATTTTCATGGTGTAATTTCTTCAGAATTTTGATTTCACGAATAGCAGTTATAGGAAACTGCAAGAAAAAGCAACAATTCAGGAAAGAACCTTGTGATACAAAGTAGCAGACAAGTGAACAACCAATAATACTTTCTCAATTAGGAAGTGTTAATTGAAATTCTCATCGTGAAAAGATCAACTGGATTGTAAACATAATTATCTTATGCACCCATAATAGAGTAAATAACATTCAGCAAGGTGATCAAAGAGATACCCCCTCTCTCTCATTGTCCATTCTTATTTTCTTCAAAGCAACAATTTCACCTGTTCTGATTTCTCTAGCCATGTAAACTTGGCTGCAAGCACAAAGGTATAGATCAGTTCCTTCTTGCAGCATCAGCAATGAAGCATACACCCAGAAACAAGATATTTTGGAGCAGAAATAGGCTAACAACTCTACCTGCAGGCTATAACTCAAGCATATGTCTTAAAAGGGAAATTTAAGAATAGAAAATATCGAAGAAAGTAAAAAGTTTCTAGCAGTGCAATTCTTATACCTACAACCCAAAGTATTTTTCTTTGGAAGTCTATAATAAGTAATTGTCTTCTGATTCCAAATCTATAATAAGTTGGAACCTATCATGGGACACACAATGCATTACAGAGGTATGATCATTACTCCTAAAGCAGGTTATTCTATTACACCTCTTAGAAAGAAAAGAACTTAAATCAAAATACTTAATACAGAACTTCTACCATGAAACCCCTGCATAAGGATTGTGGCTGTTCTCCCTCCCCCGTATTTAACAAAGCTATTGCACAATTGTATACATAACTGGTTGCATACACTTGTACCAATTCTATAGTAGTCCAATCATGATAAGTATTGTGAATCAGAAAGCACATGTCTAAATTACGAATCATAAAACATAGCAAACTATAAGATTTAGTAACAACTGAAAAATAGCTTGAAATATAAAAATGTTATATATGTATCCTTATGATATAGATAAAATGCGAAAGATAATAAATCTGATTCATAAGTTAAGATGGGAAATGCATTGGACAGAAAAACTCATCTAGAAACCTCTTAAATTACCAAGTAGTCAAACACACCATCCAGAAACTAAATAAAAATTGTGAACTTAATGCAGTCCTTGAGTACAAAGGCAAAACATCACAAATAGACCTCATTTTGGGCTGGGATAATGGCCTGATTTGCCAATTTTCAGAGGTCCTGCACCTAAAGTGCCCTTGAGAACTCACAGCAAAGGGCAATTTGGGTTGGGCTAATGGCCTGACTTTAGCCAAATTTCCAAGGTCCAACATCTAAAGCCCTCTTGAGAACTCAGAGCAAAGGCCAAATCATTATAAAAGCTCAGCTGAAGGTGGTGAAGGGAAAAGGACAATTAGATTAACATAGTTTATTAAGGCACTTGATAAGTTATAGGACGGGTCAACGACAATTCTAGAGGGTACAGACAAATTTTTTTAGGTTTCACAAGTTTTTATTAGTTGGCCATTAAATCCTGTCTAGTCTTCTCATTAAAAAGAAGAAAGCTTGATCTTTCACCTCTCATGGGTGCCATAAATAGATTTATGGCAAGACTTTGGCAAACTATGAACTGCGAACAACCACAAGCCTAGATGGGCAGACTACATGGATTGCACATCGCTATCATACTCTATCAACAACAAAATCTTTGGATATATTGTTAACAAACAATAAACTGCCAGTGCAGACTTTTTATTTCGCTAGTTACGTTTCTCCACTATCATTATTCATCATGTAGATAGTCCTGTCAGTGCTGCTACATGGTATGTAAAGTGAAACTAGAGCTTCTATACTGAACAACATAATAGACAATTATACAGAGACAGTTACCAGATAACTAAGAAATTTTAGCTACTATGATCCACAAATGACTAAATGCCCGATAAGTTGAAGTTTAAACAATATACATTTATTAGTCCCCATGTCAGTCGCCCAAAGAAATAAGAAAAACGATATCATGATCAAACATAAGCTGTTGCCGACAACCATAACCACATCACACCTACATAAAGAAAGAAAAAGCAAAATTGGAACATATGTTCAAAAAATTCGACTATGAAGCATTGCAAAACTAAGAAACAGAAATAGCAACTAACGAGTACTGTGATACTGCGACTTATGAGAAAAAAGTTAAAACTAACCCATAAGTTCCCTCGCCAATCTGCTCCAACTTTTCGAAGCAATCAACACTTCTGGATCCCCATGAAGGGTACTCATTAAGGTTCAGCTGCCCAGGGGCCGCAATAGCCATTGCTCCTCAACTCCAAATCCGTGTTCGAATTCAAGAACAAGAAAACCAAGCTGACAGATGAGATTAAAAAAAAAAGAAGAAGAATCAACAGATGGTCAATTAGGGTTTTTCACCACCGAAACCGTCGGGAAAAGAAAAACCACATACCAGCAGAGCGATAACGTCGGAATCAAACAAAGTCGACGCCTTTCGAGAAAGGCAACGTTGTACGTGGCGGAGTAGTGTTTAAGGAATTGAATTGGGAAGAATCAAGTATCTGGATCGATGAAATAGAGAATTGGGAAGAGCTCAACAAAACGATATCAGCGGGCAGTTTGAATTAGATGTGAACAATTCAGTTGACAGCCATCTCTGCCCTCTCAACAATGATTCGAACACTTCAATGCAGGCTACCACGATTATGAGCGAGGCGCAGGCAACGCTGTGGCCGATAAGCTTGCTAGATCGTCTCGGCTTTAGGTTTTTCGTTTCTATAGCCTCTTGCGACCTTGGAGGATGCCGCCAACGGATTAAGATTGGTTCTCCTGAGCTTGTTGTTCCAACTCTGTAATCTTCGGTTTCTTTGGGTGTTTTTCACTTGTAAATTTACATGCTTGATCTTATATATCTAAATTTCCTTGTTTTGATTTTATTTGTTAAAATTTATTGAGTATATAAACTAATTAGATTTAGAAAGATAACAAGATTTGGATAATTGTTATAGTTAAAGAATGTTAGTGATAATTGTTATAGTTAAATACTTTTTTTTCAAGTTACATGATTAATATTAGGAGTCCTCATTTTAAAATATTTAAAATGTATTTAAAAATTATATGATTAAAGTATCTTTTTAAAAAATATGTATGTATTTCCTCCTTCTCCAACTATAAAACAATTTTAGATAAAATTTTATATAATAATAAATCTTATCAAATATATTTGACAACATTATTTTTTTAAAATAAAAATATAAATATTTTAAAAATACTTTTAATTTAATATATTATAAAAAAAGAGGAACATAAAAAATAGATTCTATTTAGTAAAACTTTAATCTTATCAAAATATTTTATATTTTGAAGTGTTCAAATTTTTTTTAAAAGTATTTTATAATTTAAAATGAATGGTCATATGATGTTTAGAGTCTAAAAAATAGCTTGACCTTGGCAACTTATTTAGCTTGTAAAACTAAGGGCCCATTTGATTCAATTGCAATTTACAAAAGAATGATTAGCATGGAATGCAATGCACACTATCCACATGTCTGGTTTGATATCAAAGAAGAGAAAATTAATATTAGGAACCTTAGAAGAATATTAATGATAAATACTAACTCTAAATTATTGAAATTTTAATAAGAGGTCATGGTCATTGTAATAAATTATATTTTATTGATTGGATTGAAATTCACAATAGACTTTTTTAAATTCTTAACTAATGCTATGAAGATTTACAAGTAATTTTTATTGATTTTCCAAATGATAGCAAAAAATTATGAGTGATTAGTATACAATTCATAATTAAATTTTGGATTAACATAACTTTTGATTCCTATACTTTACTTGCATTTTGCTTTTAGTTTCTATATTTTTTTAAATGTTTTATGTCCTTACACTTTTGTTTTTATTATTTTTGGTCCTTCTAATGTCCCTATATTTTGCTCATAGAGGGATCGAAAATAATGAAAAATAAAAGTGTAGGGATTTAAAATATTGAAAAAAAGTATAGAGATAAAAAACAAAATGTGAGTAAAATATGAGAATTAAAAGTTATGTTTACCTTTAAATTTTGTGAACTTTCAAGTGACGTTACAAAAAATTCTAAGTATATTTTATAGATTTTTCAAGCAATTTATTTATATATTGATAACAAAAAAATTACAAGTGTATTTTCTTAATTTCTCAAATGATTTAGTTGTATATTGACAATAAAAAATTAATTTTTACAACTGACTTTCATAAATTTTTAACTAATATTACAAATAATTTTAAGTGTATTTTATTAATTTCACAATTGACTATTTACATTTTTTAATTGCCAATAAAAACTATAGTCAGTTATTAGAATTTCAATAATTTGTAATACAAATAAGTTTAGAATCCCAAACACTTCCAGCTAGACCTATAGTTTATGAGTCAAATTGCTATTTAACCCTTAAACAAACAAGCTGCCTTTTCATTAGTTTTGAAAAAAATTAAAGCTAATATTTTTAAAATTAGAAATTGAAAATTTTTTGGTTCAATTTTTATTTTAAATTTTTAAATTTTGATAATCCTTTTTTCAAGTTTATTTAAGAAAACAAACATGCGAGTTGTTTTCAATGTGGATAGACTAAGGAAACAAAAAACTTTCAGGCTTAATATCTGGCTATCCAAGAAAAAAATAAATCAAATAAAGAAAATTAGATGCTTGAGTTTATATGGGAAAATTACTTAAAAAACGTCCAAAATACAAAACTGACAATTAGGAACCGTGAAATATGATAATTATTTTTTAGTCCTGAGGACTTGCTTGACTTTTTTGTGAAAAGACACATTTACCCTTGTAAAGTATATCCTTTATCTTAGTAAATAATTGATTATTTTGTTTTGGGAAAATGACTAGAACATAATATCAGACTACAAGTTGTTTTGTGCAAATTTTTTTACTAATGAAGTCCAATAACTAAAGATTAGTTACTACTTTCTTTTGAGAAATAAGTATTTTTGTCAAAGAAATGACTAGAATAGAATATAGCAAATCATAAGTTACTATTTTTTTAATCAATGAAGTCCAACAACTAAATTTTGCACAGAGCAACTTATAATATGTTAATTCCATTCTAATTATTTTTGCAAGAAAAGTAGTTTTTTTCCCAAAATAAAGTAGTCAGATAACTGATTTTCTAAGGTAAAGGATCTCTTTCATTGGGGGTAACATGTCATTTTACCAAAAATGACAGTCAAATCCTAGGTACTAGAAAATAGTTATTACATTTCGCCATACCTGTATCGTCATTCCGATATACTTTGAAGGCATTGTTCTATCATTTTTCCAATTTATATACATAATAAATTTTATGCAATACAACTAATATTATTAATATTTTAAAATTATTTTAAATTTAAAATATTCTCCTAATATAACTTATTTGAAAAAAGTATCTTAAGTATAAAGTATACAAGTTTTCTTCATAGGCTATAATTCCTATCAATGATGTTTTTTGATGCCAAATTAGAGATTATTCACCTTTTGGGCCAACAATAATTCATTAATTCTTATTTCATTATTTCAGTATGCTCATGACAATCTTACCTAAGTTTACATATTAACATATAGGGGAAATTTTTCATATCATATGTCTCAAGTAAGGAAATTAAATAATAATAGAATAGGTCCACTGCCTTCTTGGCCTCCTTGACCATTGCTTTATTAACCAGTTGTCAAAACTACTTTAAAAAAGAAGAAGAAGAAGAACATAGTCAAATAGCTAGACAAACAGATCTTAATATTGGTACGTATGCTTCCCAAAAGGAAGTGTAATGATACGCCAACTCTCATCAAAGTGAACCGGAGTGCTGCAGCCTGAGCCCGGTTCAGTTTCATTGTTGAGGCCATCGCCTTGTTGTCCAGGTGGACAAGAACATGTGTAGCTTCCATACGTATTGTTGCAAAGTTCCCGGTGTTTGCATTTATTCAGGTCTCTCATACGGCACTCATCTACATATGAAATTATATTGTCGAGATATCATTGCACAATCAATCCTATAGAAAATAGGATTAAAATATTCTCTAAAATTTACTTTTCAAAGTTTCTTAATATATTTTTATATAGAATAATTATACATTTATATTTCCCTAGAAATTAATATTGCCACCTATATGTCAAGATTAGAGGCATGCTTGCAATGTGAATACTTAGATTTGGATCCTGTAACTGTCCCAAATCCTCTCACACAATAAGTGCCCATATTGTAGCTGTACAATTTTATCAACATTTGAAAATTCATGCCTGAAGAGAGAAACAAATAAAATGGTGAGTTAAAAGGTATTTTTATAAAGATGTATTTCAATCATTTTCTCTGCGGTCACATGTATTATTGAATTACAGTATTAGACATGGGAAAAGATATATTATATCTGGTGTTCTCTATATCTTAATATAACATCTACAACAAACATTCAATTATATAAATCAATGATAGTCTCTATATATAGTGCCATGTGAGACACTTGTTGTGTTAGAGGATTTGGAACACTCATCCAATCTGGGTTCGTGAATATTTACTGGGTGAGAGGATTTAAATTTGGGAGACTGATACAACTTAAACATATATAGTGCGACAACTTAAACATAAACTACTCGATCCCTTTTGCTTTCTAAAAAGAAGAAGAAAATCAATTTTTAAAAAAGATAAAAAAATAAAAGCAATAGTGCAATATATATTCAATAATAATCACCTTTGCAGCCGCCGGAGAGGTAGGGTTGCCTTCAAACCCTAATTTGCAATTGCAGATGAAGTGACCACTAACACTTTGTGATTCTTCGCATGCACTTTCATTAGCATTGAAGGCTCCACCGCATGATTTCGTCTCATTAACAGCCCAATCGAGAACCACTGTAGATCTGTTGCTTTGCCTTAGATTGTCGATTTCTTCGTAGGAAAAGTTGAACGATCCGTTCTAGGCAAAAAATGCAAAACTGCAATTCTTAAAGAAGTCGTCGTCGCGGCCATGCCAGTGCCTCGATTGTAAAAAAACAATATTATTCGTATAACCTCTTACAGCTTACTCAAAACTAGTCTGACAGCAGCCAGATCCACCAGAGCAGTTTCCAAATCCCACGGATGATGACCAGTCACTGCACTGTGAGTTGCAGCCGATAAGTCTTTTTATTTCGAGGGTATGGAAGCAAGCGTAGGTGTTACAACCCACGACGATAAAAACGTTCTTTTCATTGGGTATGACAAACTTGGGAGGCACCGGAAGACCACTGCCCCAATAATTGCTTTCTTTGGGATAGCAATCGTCGTAAACCAGAGCAGAGACGAGCAGATCACTGTTGTCCCCAGAGATGTTGAGGACTTGGAAAGTTAAGTTTCGTTTGTTCCTAAATATGGGATCTGATCACTGCAGGTTATACGAAAATCTTCATCTTTAAAGCAGTCTTCCGATGTGCCCAAGGGAGGATAGATGTCCACGTCCCCGCACTTGCTATGGCAGGCTGCGGTGGGGGATGTGTCAGAGGTGGCGGTGGCAGTGGCGGCCGCGGCCACCGCTAATGCCAGTTTCAAAAGCAATGGACTACTCAAACCCATCATTTTACTATCGTGATGATCGTGACAATAATGCTTGTGTACTTTGATGATCAGGAAAGCTAAGGCATTTAACATGAACATTCTTGCCAGGGAAGCACAAAAGCACCTTCTTGTTATTGAGATACTGGTTATTGAACTAATTGAAATAATAATTTAAGGGTTAATGATTCAACTAAAGGACATCCTGCAGTCAAATTGGTTATAATTGAAATAATATATTTTAATTTAAATATTCAAAAATATTCTTATTTATAAACTATGAAAAAACAGTATAATATTTAAATAAAGAAGTTCT